TCGCGAGCAGGGCTCTAAGGCCGTTGTTGGGCATCGTGGATCCCTTGAACACGGAAGCTTGTCCAACGGCGGTTCACGTTAGTGCGGGATTGGATGTGCTTTTCCACGCCTTGGAGTCGTACACGGCGATTCCATATACAGAGAGGATGCCGCGCCCTGCCAACCCGATCCAGAGGCCTGCATACCAGGGTAGGAACCCGATTAGCGATGTTTTCTCACTCTGGGCGCTCAAGCAGACTGTCAAGTATCTCCCCAGGGTCGCGAAAGACCGCACAGATGCCGAAGCTCGAGGCCAAATGCTTCTCGCAGCCACCTTCGCAGGCATCGGCTTCGGCAACGCAGGTGTCCATCTTTGCCATGGTATGTCCTACCCCATTTCCGGCCTGAACAAGAAGTTCGGTAAATACCAACACCCGGGCTACCAAGTCAACCATCCTATCGTACCCCACGGCGTCTCGGTTGCGCTGACTGGACCAGCTGTGTTCGAGTTCACCGCTCCCAGTGCGCCGGAGAGGCACAGAGAGGTGGCGGCGATCTTCGAGGGTGAGAGGAGTAGTGGGGATATTGAAAGGTTGCCGGATGCCGAGGTTGGTGGCTTGGTGTATGATAGAATTGCCAAGTTTTTGGCTGATTTGCGTGTACCCAGGGGTTTGGAGAAGGTGGGGTATGGGAAGCAACATGTGGAGGCTTTGGTAAAGGGTACCATTCCCCAGAGGAGGGTGTTGGATTTGGCTCCGGGCATCGGTGATGTCAAGGGTGCGGACGGGCATGAGCATCTCAGTAGGATTCTGGAGAAGAGTCGTAAGTAAAAAACAGCGCCAGCTTGCCAAGCGAGAAGATAGAGAACTGACATTGACCTTGTATTCCGTATGATGTGTGACGAACAGTGTCGTACTAAGTTCTTTCTCTCTCGCGAAAAGTCTCGAAGAAAGACTCAATCGATGTCGGAGGCACTTGTGCCGTGGATTGCAATGAACACCGAATGGATACTTCCAGCTGTCATTGTGCGAGGCGAGAGGATGTGAGAGCAAGAAATAGTATCTGCGGTAATGCTGGCCTATCGTTAACGAGAGCAGGTTAGGTGAGTGGAGCCGCGCTTCTCCGCACATGATGAGCAAGCGCTAAACGAGATCGACTGGCGCGTGAAATGACGACTTTCCGCTTGTTTCCTACCAAAAGCCGCATCCGCTTTTCTTGTCGAGGCTCGTAACCAACCTTTTTCAGCGGTAAAGCCTCTCTCTCCTCGCCCTTTCTTGCTTGCTCGCTCCTCACATTTTGTTTCCTTCTTATACCCCATCTTGCCATCTCCATTCGCACCTATTCCCTCCAAGTCCTCCCCGACCGAAGTTCTGTGCAAGATGTCTCTCAGCAGCAACCTCCCCTCCTTCCTCAAGGACCTAGTCTCATCCTTCACCGGCGGCAAAGATCCATTGTACAACCTTACCGCTTTGTCCGTCCCTGCCTGCCTTCTATTGGCAGCCTGGCCACACTGGTACACGATCTACCTGGCTCAATCCAACCGCATCCAAGGAGGCTGGAGCAACATCAACCCGCGTGCATTCGTGGTTAAGCTTGCACAAAAACCCAAGCCTACCCCTCTCGAACTCTTAATCCTCCGAGGACAGGCTTGTCAAGCGAACTCGTTCGAAAACGTCCCTCTGTTTTTGGCAGCCCTCGTCTGGGCGAACTATACAAGGCTGGAAGTGGAGACGATTAATAGGTTTATTCTAGGCTACTTGGCAAGTAGGGTGCTATATACGGTTCTTTATTTGAAGACGTCTACCTATTGGAACAGTTTCGCGAGGACGGTGGTGTTCAACTTTGGTATCCTCTGGATTGTGAGTATTTGGATGCAAGGTGGGTTGGCTTTGGCGCCTAGCCTCAAGTAGTTATGTTGCAGTAGGTCGAGAGAGATCAGAGAAAGAGGATGCGGGGGGGCGGGACGGGGCGGGGCGAGGCGAGAAGCTGACGCCAGGCGTAGCAGGCAACCGTTAAACCCGACCCTTTTCATCCATCCCCATACTGTGCAGTGCTTGGATCGATAAGTAGGCGATAGCACAACCCAACAAGTAGTACGAACAGAGATCAGCGACTCCAAGCCTGTTCTGTGGCAGTGTGTGCCATTTTCAGCGAGCGTATCAACAAAGCAACATCGACAAACGCCGTGTGCAAGTCTTTCGCCTGTGCGATCCGAATGCCTGGTCCAGAATTCACGCCTTTCACTCGTCACCACAAACAGATCGTAGGCATACAAGAAGAGAGCATATCGAACAACAACTACAATTCCGTTTCCCTTCTAAGTGAATGCTGCTTCTAGAGCTTACTAGCGAACCTGGCCCGAAGCACGTTCTTCTGTACTTTGCCTGTACTAGTCTTAGGCAATCCATCTACGATATCGAACCATTCCGGCACGGCAAAACCTGACATCCTCTCCTTGCAATGTTTCTTCAGTTCCTCTACGAATGCCTTATTCTCCTTACTTGCACTTTTCTTTACCTCTTTTACCCAAGCGCCACCTCTGCCCGCCTTCACTTGTTCGGTGAGGACAACGAAAGCTTGGCCTCGTTCACCCCATTTCTCATGCGGTCTAGCAATGACGCAACACTCCAGTACATCTCTGTGGGCTGCCAATTCTTGCTCTACCATGAGACTCGAGATGTTTTCTCCACCAGAAATGATAATATCCTTGCCACGATCCAAAATTTGAATCTCCCCTCCAGGATGTCGAACGGCGAGATCGCCAGTATGGAACCAACCTTTGAGTACAGCTTTGGATGTGGCCGAGGGATCGTTGTAGTATCCCATCATAGTCATGTTTCCTCTAGTGACGATCTCGCCTGTTTCTTTACCGTTTCTTTCCACATCGATTAGATCGCCATGCTTGCTGTTGCTCGAGTCGGTTCGGACGACCCGCACTTCGTCTGATGTGAGGTAAGAGTGTCCCTGTCTAGCCATCATTCGTGCTCGGGAATCAACGTCGAGTTTCGCCCATTCTGGTTCGAAATATCGTCGGGTAAAGGGACCATATGTTTCGGTCAAGCCATACACGTGCACGGGATGCAGGTTTAGACTTTCCATCTTCGCAAGGAGGTTAGCTGTGGGAGCGGATGCAGCGACGGCTACGTTGACCCGGCGAGGCAGTTTTTTAGCAGAGGGATGATTGGTTAGGCCAATTTGAACTGTCGGTGCACCGCAGTAGTGCGTTACACCATGATCAATCAATGCATCCCAAATCACAGCGTTGTCTACCTTGCGAATCGTATGGTGAGTCGCCAAAGATGCCGTGACAGCCCAGGGAAAAGTCCATCCACAAGCATGAAACATGGGAAGAACCCAAAGATATCGCGAATCTTGCGTAATGTTGGCTTCGAACGCATTTGCTACTGCTGCGAGATAGGCGCCTCGATGGTTGGTTAGAACTCCTTTCGGACGACCGGTTGTGCCAGAAGTATAGCAGAGTGCGATCGGTTGTTCTTCATCCTGTGGAGCGAAAAGCATTTTCCAGCCGGTGCGGGGTTCTGCTCGGGGTTTGGGGGTCGAGGCGTATACGGAAAGCTCTTTCTGTTCTGCTCGCTGCCATTCGAGATAGCCTCGGTCGAGGAAATTTTCGTAGGGATCATCGGATTCGGCTCCACCAGAGTCTTTGCTGATAACAACGGTGATGTTAGGGCCAGGATTCTCGGGGATCAGATGGGTGAATTCGTGATCGCAGAGAATGATAGTCGATCCAGAGTGCTCGAGGACATAAGCTACTTCTTTAGGAGTGTTTCGAATGTTGATCGGAGTGATAATTCCACCTGCGGCGGGGATGGCCCAGTGTGCATCGGCGATCAAGGGTGCGTTGGGGGAGATAACCGCTACTCGATCACCCGTTTTGAAGTTAGGAGTGGTGAGCAGGGCAAATGCGAGCGAGAGGCATCGTGCTGCCCATTGAGAATAGGTGAAGCTGTAGTTGCGTTCCGGGTGAGAAATGGCGAGTTTGTTCGGTGTGATTAAGGCTGCTCGGAGAAGGAAGGATACGGGAGTGAGGCAAGAGCGGTAATGGGGAGCGTTCGGGTGGATAGAGAGGGAGAGTTCAAAGGGACGATCGGTGGGAGGTTGGGATGAGCGTGGGGGTTGGTAGACCATCTTTGCGATTCGTTACCGACTGAGGATGGTGGCGCTGGGATGGCAAATGCTGGTGAAGGAAGAAAGGTTGGTGGATACATAGAATCTTAGAGCGGAGTACGGGGAAGATGGAGAGCTCCGGCTAACTTATACTGTCATCGACAGGCGCTAGAGTTGGAGGCGAGAGAGAGGCAGTGGGGAAAAGTTGGGGGAAGATGGCCGCCAAAATTGTAGACCCGGTCAAGTGTTGCGGTAGCAGAAGGGTACAGGAACAAGTGCGGGGTAAAGCGATTTGCTATAGTATTCCGAGCGTTGATCTGGAAGTTAGCCTCATTCGTCATGCCTCGAACTCCTTCATTGCCGACTTGCCGTCTTCTCGCTGTATCGCTTGTGGCCCCCCTGTCGCTCTCGGTGACCGATGTTTTTGTGGAGCTGCTCCTCGTGGTCATCATTTGTTCGGCTTGCTGCTTGTCAGCTTGGGCTTGTATGCGGCAACGCAAGTTTGAGTCATTTCAAGGCGCATTCAGAAGGCTGGTGTTATCGCCTCTCAGAGTTGAGGTAGGACAAGGTGGATGGCGGTTTGGCGCTTCAAAGGCGCTCACAAGCCAATCCCAAGTTTCGCCGTCTGCGTTCGGCAGTCGCTCTCATTTTGACTCCGGTTAGCCGACTTTTCCTCGCGTTCTGTTAGACCTTTATTTCCCATGTGCTCCACTTCTTTTTGCCCGGTTGAGAACAAAGGCGGTGCCTTTCATCCAAACCAACGTGGCATGCAGGAAGCCCCTAGTCACAACCTCATAGGAATAAATGCAACTGATGCCAAAAAGATCCAACGGAGAATGTCGATGCTTGTGTTCTGGTGTGGAGAGAGAATGGAAAAAGTCTCAAAAATGTGATAGACTAGGTGGGGTTCGAACCCACGAACCCGAAGGACGAGGAATAGAGGTATACACACATACTGCGTGTGTCTCGGCGTCCGAAGCTTGTTGACTTGCGCCAAAATTTATGAAATTTTCTTAAATCTCGCGCGTTTGACCACTCCGCTACTAGTCTCAGTATGTGATAAAGTTGGGGGTATTGCAATAATATACTAAGACCAATATTTTGCGTCGCTCACACATTCTTGTTTTGACCAACCTCAGGAGAAAGACGAGGCTCGCTCAATGAACACCACATCGCACAGTTAGCTGTGATCCTTGGGCAATGCAATGTATTCTGTTGAGTCAATGTAAGAGTGAAAGTCCATGTGTATGTGTATGCGACGGAGCAATGGTGCGATGCGAACAATGAAAGCGAGGCAAAGTAGGTATCAAAGATGCGCAGCGAGAGAGAGGGACAGATGCAAGATGCAATGATGCTGGAAACAGGGAAAATTGGAAGACGAAGATCAGATACGACGAGGAAACTGATCAGTCAGCTCATACGACTCGCCTAAGCCAGCAGGTCGACGTTGAACGGGATACGGTGGTGCCGGACCAGCCGACGAAGCGGGCAAGCCAGGGTTCCTCAGTCGACCATGTTCCAGCGCATTCGCTGGCGACAAGGGCCGCGAAGGAGGAGCTGTCCCCGGTGCAGTGCCATGCTCCCCTCCGACCTCGTCGAACACGTCGTGTCCACCGAATGCAGCGCCAGTGTCCATGAACTTGTAGGCACGCTCACCAGCTCCCAACGTGTTCTGCACTCCTACCTCAGCAGGGGTAGCTGTAGCTGACGAGTCAGGAGGTGGGTAAGGAACCATAGTGACGTGGCTCAAAGCAGCAACATTAGGATCACCTTTGGGACCGTAGATCTTGCATTCGGCCAAGAACACCTTGAGCTGGCACAACCATCGGTTTCGTCGCTGTGCCTTCAAGCCACCTTGCTGCCAGTTGGACTTGTATCGGATGCCAGCCGACAGAAGCAGGCTACCCTGATCCTGGAAGTCAATCACATTGATGTCGAGACCAGGCAAGAAGTCACGCTTCTCTCCCTCAAGCCAGTGGACCATCTTGGTTCGCAATGCTTCGATCTGCGCAAACGACGTGTTGTAGGCCACTTCGAACTTGAACGTCTCCTCGATGGCTCCCGATCGACGCAGGTTGACAATGGGCTTAGTAGCCAGCTGGTTGTGGCTGACCATGACGTTCTTGCCATTGGTGGTCTTGAAGACGGTGGTGAGCAGTCGCATCTCCTTGACAATGTACTGGTCGTCACCGATGTCAACACGGTCACCGACATCGTAAGGATGCTTGATGAAGAGGAAGATGATGGCGCCCAGCGTCTCCTGTGCCGTGGTACCGATGAGCCAAGAGAGACCGAGGATGAGCGTACCAAAGGAAGTGACGAGCGTGCTGAAAGCAACAGACAACATGGCTGCAATGATGATGGCGGCGATAAGAATGAAAACGCTCATGAAGATCGAGTCAAGTCGTCCAACAGCCGAGTCGACATCGCGCATTGAGAGCTGCAATGCCAGTCGCTCGCGGTGGATGTCGATGCAAGCAGTCTCTAGCTCTTCTTTGGTGACATCGCCGTTGAGGTCACGGTCAAAGATCTCGAAAGCAACCTCAGCAGTGATAGCGTCGGGGAAGCAGTGAATGATGTCGTCGACGACCATCTCGGACTTGCCGGGAGGGCAGAAGCTGTACCAAATTCTTCTTGCCAGCGCCTGGGTCTGCTTGCGAGAGTTGAGTGACGATACGACGACAGAGCGAGGGTTTCCAAGCTGAGGCACACCTTGGCCTGCGATCTCGCTGGCGACAGTGCCAAGGACACTGGTGCTCTGCAGTGCCACATCTCGCACCTTCTGACCCGTTTTGCGCAGACGAGCGCGAGTCACGTGAAGGCCAGTCGACTTGCGCTTGGCCTCGTGCTCTGCAGCCATGTAGGTATCCTTGCGATTGTGGTTCTTGGAGTTCTCATAGAGCGTGGTGAGCACCTTGATGTTGAACTTGGATGTCTGAATGCGGTCCTCGTACGAGACGCGGTGGAAGTTGTACGCAATGCCCTGAATGAAGAGCTTCTCACCTAGCAGAATGGCAGCGCTCAAGCAGACACCGAACCAGAGACGGTATCCGGAGAGCATGATGTCGCTGGTAGTTGGCCAAGAGTTCTCGCTCTTCTGCGTCACAACTGTGGTGCTTCCAGAGGAGGAAGAGTCGGCGGAGGAGGTGGAGTTGGTAGGTGTCAAAGAGGCCTGCTCGATAGCAGCCTTGTCGGCGCCCTGGAAGTTGCCGATGACGATTGCAAGCCAGAGCGCAAAGAGGAGGATGGTCCATAGGAAGAAGGCGACGTACTTTTCGGTGACGATGAGGAACTCGGTATAGCGGCGCATCTTTTGGTGGATGTTGCCGACAGTCCATCGAAGAATGCGTGGGATCATGATGGCACCAACACGGCAGACCCACCAGCCTACCCAAATGGAGCTCAGCCAGACTGACCACCAAAAGATGCCGACGTCAAGCACGGTGGGATTCTTGAACTGATTCGCTGGTCTGGCATTATAGACGAGCAGAGCGAGAATACCAGGGATCCAGAAGAGAGCCGTTGGGACAAGAATGTAGAGGAAGAGGCGAACAGAGGGATGGCCGAGCTTGGGACCTTCAGCATGGCGTCCATTGAGACCGACAAAGCTGGTGTTGGCACTGTCATTCGAGTAGCCGGCACCTTTCAAGAGACGCTCCCACGAGTCACTGTCTTGGCGCTTGAAGCCAGGTCGCTTGACATTGGGAGCAGAGTTGTTCTTGCCCATGGCTTCGTGAAGGCGCTTTGACACGTCGGTGGACTGCGAGTACTCCTGACGGTGTCGAGGTGGAGTGGTCTGCACTGGTGGATAGGTGTTGGAAAGATCAGGACCGCCGTCGTTGGCCCATTGACCTGAACCGCCATAGTTGGCTGGGTAGTTGTCGTACTCCTTTTCAGATGGATAGTCGCCGACATGGTCGTAGTACGTGGATGAGCTGACACCGTGGCCAGCCAGCGGTGCATCGTAGGTGCGAACAGGGCCATGAAGAGTGGCGTTGTCGTCCGAGCCTCTACCTGGTGAATGGCAGGTTGCACCACCGCTTCCGCCGGGCACACGGGTCCACGGCGCCGACATGGTTTGCAAAGATGGGATCAATCGAAGAGAAGGGGATTCTGAAGCGTTGTGGATTGCAAAGGTGGTGGAGAGGTGGAGAAGTGGTGGCAGTGGCGATGGTGTTTGATAAAAGGAAAGTGAGATGGCCTCGCCAAGGCTTCCAACAAAGGGGTGACTGAGCTTCTTGTTGTCCGTGTGAGCGTTGTTCTTTATTTCTTTCTTTCTTTCTTTCTTTCTCGCTGGCGTTAAAGTTGAGTGGGATGGCCTTCCTCCTGCCAAAAGAGGAAAAAGGTTTCAGACTCGAGCTTGCGTGTTCGTGTGTTGTTCTTTAAAAAAGCAACGACAGCTCGTGTGGAGGGGTACAGCGCAACGGTGGTTTTTTCTTTTTTTCTTTTTTTCTTTTTTCTTTTTTTCTTTTTTCTTTTTTTCTTTTTTTTACCCCTCTGCCCAGCTAGCAAGATAGTGGAGAACAGCCAAAGGTGAGAAAAGCGTTGAGTTGGACCCCGGAAAATGGTGAATCTGCGTAAAGACGTCGTTGCGCTGGAAGCCGTAACCGAGGCTCGCACTTCTAAACCGAATCGATCCCTCTCATGCAATTTTTCTAAAAATTCGTCCATCTCGGTCCTCTGTGGTGGTGCTTGTGACCATCTGTGACAGCGATCGAAGACCTTCTCCTAGGCCTAAGTGAGACAAAATAGAATTCGGCTGTCCCGAATGCGTGGGAAAGGGCCCCTCTCATCGCAAAGTGAGCCAACCTGATCCTGACTCGATTCGATGGCACAACTCGAACGGAAAGTGAGAAACAGAAATGGGTCTGTGCGCTAAAGAGGAAGCTGTGATTTCAGAGAGAGAGGAGCAACTCAGTTGTGGATGGGCAGGTGATGTCAGAATTTGACCTGGCGGTGTGGCGTCGAGCACGCGAGTCCTGTTTTCACACTTGGCTGTCAGTACCCTCGAATTCGGCAGCGCCTTCAGATCTCGCATTCCCAGTGCAAAATGCAAAAGCAGAAGCTCTATTTGGCCCAAGTGTGTCTGACGCCGCCCAGCTAAGACTCGGTTTCAGCCCTGGGCAAAAAGAGAAAAGATGTGAGATTCTGCGAATTTTCTGCCAGCATTTCCGATTTGCTTGGGCTTGGTGTGCCGTTGCGCTGTCACATTTCGTTTTCATCGTCTTTGACCACCATCATTGCGATCATCCTCGATTGCACTCGGTTCGAAACCATACCATCATCGCTGGTCCCGTCGACTCATGCTCCGTTCCTCAACCGCTCTCTTGATCATCACGTTCAAACCCTTGGCCCTCTGATCGCGCTCACATTCATTTCACCGCAGCGAGCAAAAGAAGCTCGGTCGGCACCTCCGCTTTTCATCAGCTCTTCCATCTCAGCCCAATCACGCACGTTCAACTTCTTCCCACGCTTCTCAGATCACACGCCCTGCAAGCCACATCATTTAGGTTCATCCCGAGTTCATTCCGACAAGCTCACACGCAACGATGCCCTTGCTCGATTCAGCTCGTGACTGGATCGACTCGGCAATCGCTGCCCCTTCAGAAGTGCACGAGAATGCATCTCAAACCCTCGTCTCGCTGGCATGGACGTTGCTCATTATCCCAAGCATCTTTGTCGTGATCGCATTCGCCTGGATCATGTACACATTCAGTCAGCCATCGGATCTATCGCAATCCAACGGCTTCAGTCACGCTGGCGCTGACGACGAGGATGACGGTCAGGGCCAAGACGAGCAAGAGAAGTTGTTAGACGCTTTCAACGAATCACAATCGCACTCTGCTACAAACGTAACCAGCTCAGCATCAGGCTCATCATGGAAGATCAATAACAAGTACAGTACAACGTCAAGGGGCGGCTCTGTCTACACTTCTTATCCGGATCCAAACGGCACACATACGCATTCACCAAAGAGTTCCATCTCTACTTCGTCAAAGTCGAAGCGCTCGAGTCTTACTGCTGATGGCAAACCAAGCAGATCGGTGGGG